GGTATGCTTATCCTTATCCATTAGTACTAGAGAGCAGTTCTTTGGGCTATCGAACACTACGGATAAGATAATAAGTGAACGACTCATTTCGAGCGTACTTTTGATAAGGACCGGTGGATGTCCTACATTCCACACTACCTGCCCACATCCCATCCACTTTTCTGCACAGGTGATCCACCCTGGAGCTCCTCCACCCTTAGCCCAAGGTGAGGCTCTCCTTCCCCTTCTTCAGGACCGTTTCCTAGGGCTACTGCAGGCTGAATAGCGATATCTCAGGAGTGCTCCTACACTACACCGGCGCTTATTAGGATGCGTGTGCAGCAAGCTTCTACCGGGGATGGGTTCCTGAAAGTCTGGTCTCTATTCCGGTCAATGACGCAGTCCTTGTGGCCAAGAATAGGAGGACGGGTCCAAATACGCAGAGTTTTGCAGACCCATTCCCGGCGAGGGTAGCTGCACCCTATCCCAGAAGTACACTTTTTTTGATCAGTCACTTGTCACGAGGGATATCACTCTTATCTTATGTATTGGAGAACACAATGGAGTGCCCCCCCCTGACTGGATTGAGGGTGTTTCCATTCCAAACTGTTATCCGCTTTCGCTCAACGCATGCCGGAATCCCCAAACCTGAACACTGCCTTCCAGAACAGCAGTTTTTTTTCAATCTACTGCAAGCGGACGCTTGGACCAGAAATTCAATTCTTCCCCGGTCCAACCAACAATGAGGCGTTCCTCGAGGTTGGCATAGCCGCTCACGGATAACAATGCCACTGGAAGACACGTGGGACGCAATTAAATTCAACAAATGCACCCCGCACTTCAAAAGCTCCCCAGCACTCAGTAACCACCCTGTCACACTAGCTATCTGGTATACAACAACAACAAGTGGGACTCACATATCGATTTCCTTTTGGTGTCGTTATCGTGATCACTGACTTCTGGTCGACATCGACTACAGACGACGCATAACTCATCTCATACAGTGGATGTGTATCTCTTCCAATCATTAGTCGATAAATCGAATGGTATTCACCATAGTGTAATGGTGACAAGCGAGATAGAACCGTGTCTGTAGGAAAATGTACAATGAACATACATCGTTTATCAACACCACAACGCCGAAAACAAGAAATTTCGAGAAAATCTCACGCACTTCGCAGTTGACGCTCTGTTCGTCGCATAACATGCAATACCGGTATTTCGTGTTCCAAGCAAAGCCGTACAGCGTCAGCCGATGAGATTCCATCCCCAATCACCACAACACGGGCATCGCTTGCACTGAAAAATTCCACTGTACTTCAGTGCACAGTACAAGTTATTCAAGATGCACTATTGTAATCTTACTCTGGCCAGAAAAACTAGTTTTCACCTGATCAATCATTCTATACAGTGCAACAGAAAAATGACTGGAATTTGATGGCCTTCAATGATAAACCACACCTAGACTGCCCTTCTCAGAATCCTTTCAGTACATCAGCTAACCGAAATGGATCCACCACATTCAACCTCTGACTGACTCATAACTTCTTGGGAATAAAAAGGACACTTAAAAACTCACCTTGCTTCAATACTGCTGTCCTCCAGTCGTGATCGCATATTTGAAATGCCATAAACTATCGGCAACGTAGGATTATGCGTTGGCAGCTGAAATCCAAACAATTAAGTAGCAGAAAAGCGGCCGATAAAAATTTAGACGCGGATGTAAAAGACATCTTCGGGCGGAGATCGTCCTTACAACCTCAACTCCTATTTTCGTTTCTTCCCACACGCTAATAACAACATCTTTTCATGTACTGAGCCAACCATCTTTCGTTTCCGATACAGCTCCACAATCTCCCTCTCTACATTTGGGAGAAGTAATGAAAAAGGCAAAGCAATCCTGTGTTGATACAAAACCGTTCGGAGCGGCCAACGCTTGCTACGTCCATTCAGAAATCGGTCAGTGCAATTAATGCACTGCTTGGCGGGGCCAACCCTGATTCCTACTCATGTCTAATCCTCCACACAATCCTTTTACCAATGACACCAACGAAGGGATGAACTTGCCCTGGTGGCGCCATCCAGATTTGGTTCGGATCCGCGTGCGTGAAGCAGCGGCTGCTGCCCCACACAGCTTTCGCTTAGAACGCCATGATCTGAACGTCGGAATCTTCGGGATAGCGGGAAAAAGACAATATTGTATCCCTCTGATAACTCTGATCGCACCTGGTCGCAGCAAGATAAAAGTTCGAATTGTACTGCTAATATACAGCTGTTTCTCAAAAATTCACAATTCCCAACTGCTGTTAATATACATGTTAATTCCAGAAATATACTTTTATATTATTCAATTATCATAAGCTACATAATTGATACTTTTGAATAAGAACAGTTTTGCATGACAGAGTGGATAAACACATATACCCTGGGACCATCGCAAAAGCTCACCAAAACCCAAGACTCACGACTTCAAAATATCGGGGCCGGTAATTAAGTGTCGCTAAACAGATCTGCCACTAATTTGCAGTTGTTAGCCACGCCAAACTGGCAAGCTTCAATAGGGAATGATTAAAATTCCCTTTGACAAAAATAACCACTAACTGGACACCGTTTTTGCACCCCCCACCACAACCAATACCATTGGCGACGGCAGTGTTACATTTGTCTCGGCACCTTTTTTTAATAGTTTTTGATCAAGTCATTGGATCTTCTCAAGTCTCAGTCTTAGTGGCAATGACAGTATAGTTGACGAATCCGACTATGTATATAAAGATCTTTGCAAAATGAAAAACCAAATAAATCGAGTATAGCGACTCTCCTCAGCGCGAAAGTGTGCCGGCAGGCCATGCGGTCGTCAATGGGATAGTTAGACATAGGCTTAGAGGGATCATGAAGTCATCTAGACACAATTTTCGACAAGGAACTATACAGGTATAGCAAGCTCTCTGCAAAACTCTGACGTCATCAAACCACCCATCAACCAAACCGTACTTTATGGCAGAAAATCAGGTGAACGACAAAAATTGACCTTGATATCAGCGCCAGCCTTATCAGTTACCAATGACACCTCTCTAAAATCATTTCCTTCTTTGAAGATGATTAATTATTATGATAGAAAAAACTGGACCATTTCCTGTCATAAACGCGATCTCTTTAATGTTCGGTTACACTCCCAACTGGAACCATATTGAGAAATGTGAGGTTACGGGTCGTTCCTAACACTGGTATAGTTCTCGCGATCAAATAAAAGCAGCACCCATTACATTTTCCCCTAATTCAGCCACACACAATTTGAGCGTGGCCAAAAACCAGCATAATATTTTCTTAATTGATTATTTTTGACCAAAACAATTTATTACGCCTCTTACTATTCAACAGACTCGGAGGAAACGCCGAAGGTTATTCGTCTCAAATGGGAAGTTACACTTTTTGATCTTCTCCGTTAACATGCGATCTTTCCGCAAAATTCCCACCATTCCGGACAGTGTAATCATTTCACCAGTTCGCGCAGCGCGATAACTTATCTCGGTCACCACAAGCCAGCACAGCACGCTTTCTTTTCGCGGGCAAAGATCATAAGACTTTAATCTAAATTGAAATCTGCGCTTCTCATAAACAAGCTTACAAAATTGATTGAATTCCTTAACCAATTCTCATTTTGAGGGGATTCACAGAACTTCATCAAAAAATTACCTACCTTGACAGAGGTTACTTTCGTATGAGGTATAATGTTCTTGCTGAGACCCATTTCCTTCACATAAGACTTCATGTACTCAACAATCGCAACGGACGGAAGTCTGGAAGCAAAGTTTTGAGAAAACGACCAGATACTTTCGACGAATGCATCAAATTCTATGGCTCGGTCTTCGCTCTCCAATATTATCAAAGAAAAAGAACCGTGGATAGAGCTAGTTCAACAATTTCGTGGATCAACCATCAGGAGTGTAGAGGGAGTGGAGGTAGCCACAATTCTAAAAGAACCACCTGGTGCTATTTTTTCCTCGGATAGATTCTGCAAGTCATAGAGCCGCATTCTATGCTATATCCCTTCTTATATCCCAACTCATTTTAGCCTTCCAGTAGCTGAAACCAGAAAAGGAGCTATCATGACAAAGAAGTGGACGGGAGTAGATACCACTGGAAAACAGCGACTAAATTAAAGGGAATTGATGACTTCGAATTAAGATCCAACCACAATTTTTATTATTCTTTTGGCAGGCCACTGTCCTTAAGTCGAGGGCCGCATTCCACTTCGGCTGTTTGGACAGCGAGGTTCTCGTCTACATAAGATTGCAAGTGTACTTTTTTAATATTTTTTTCAGTTTTTAATTTGTACTATCGCGGAGGAAGTAGTTGGTTGTTGTCTGTTTCACCACATTGTTGTTCTTCGTTTGATTTCCGATAGATGTACATCATGAAAATATTTAAATCAATCTTTTTAATATTCATCGAGATAGCTTGAAGACGGGAAACAGAGAAATAATCTCCCTCATTTCACTTCTTCTACTCGCTTAATTTGATAAATTTTTTTGAAGTAGAAATCTCTACTACCTTGGCACAAGTGGCGTTCCCTGAAGCCAGTCAGAGATTGAGAAGCCCGGTAAATCCAACCACGAGGAAAAAGAGACAGCAAGCATCTGTAATACAACAGTAAGGCATTTTCACCATGGCAAGTACTCCAACGTTATTTCAAGAGGAAAACCAACAGCAAAAAAACAACAACAAGTGTTGACATTAGGGTTCGTAAGAGTACTGCTTTTACTGCAAGAAGGGAGCTGGCGAGAGAAAAAAAGTCGCTAACAAAAATAGTCGGCTATTTCTGTCTCATTCGATTTCAGCAAATATTTGCCACAGTATACAGGACTGTTCGAAGTACATCGACCTGTACTCACCTCTTGATCGTAATTGTTCCAACTTCCACCGACTGGAGTTTCACCTAGAACCAGATGAGGAATACGCCTCATCTCATCCGTTTGCCAAGATAATCTCGATGAGATTTGCGCTCCCAGATCAGCTCCTGGTCGCACCAAAGAATCATAGAGCACCGATAGTGGACGAGTAGAACCGCCTACGGTATCAAGTGTATAACACCAATCGAGGTCCTGAAAAATTGGTACTTTAAACGCAATAGGTTAAGATAACTAGAAAGGGGAAGTGATGTAATCCAGCAACTGCTTAACATTTCGTGCCAACCAATTCAGAAGTTTTCCATCCTACCCCAACTGAAGCCCATTTCGCAGTTAGACATGAGTGATTCATGGTATGTGGGAGAATTTTCCACAGCAGCGCCTGCATCGCATCCATTTTTTCAACTTTACACCAGCGATTTGATGACATTGCAAATGTGATCGGCTTGGGAGTTCGGCACCACAGAAATCTTGCAAGTCACTTGCCGTCAAGATTATTTACTCTTCTTCTACAACTCGCCCATTCACCGCTCCACAAACTAATTGCTGCAAAGGAAAAACAAGGGAGATCCGAGACTCTGTTGATCCTAGCCACTAGGTTTGAAGTAGAGTTTCTAAAAACTCAACAGCCCTGTTTTAAAACCAACTTTTTATCATCATCTTTACATTTTACTTTTACAAGGATCTTCAGCATCACAGAGTCATCTAATAGTCGACATTATCTGCTGGTTTTAATCGTTTCTGCTGTGATCATGATTTTTGGGGAACAAAATGATGAAAAAACAATAAAGCTCAAAATTGGGCCATGGTATGTTTCAAGACTTTCCTTTTCCGATGAGAAACATATTCCCATGCTTTCGCAATACGGTGGTATTGAAACAAAAAAAAGAAAATCCCGAAATTTCTTCTGCCGTGGACAAATCCTGTTCGTAAATATCATCTTAGGGACAGTGTGCTGCTATGAGACACCGCAAAGCAGGGCGCGCGGGACGTTGCGGCACCGTACGCTACCACGCACTCTGTCATTCGCTTGCCCTTGCGTGGAAGATCTCCCTCCATATACTTCATTTATACTTATTCTATAAATCGCAATCAAATATAGTTGAGCGATGAAAACAGAAAGATGGATAAATAGTGCAGTATTCAGTTTATTTTTTTCCTAGTTGGCTTTTCGCCCCCGTTCACAAAAGTACCTTTCTTATGGGCCCACTAATCGAAGTAGACGTCGAATTCAATAGACTCAGTTTCCACTAACATAAATAGCTGACATTAGTCAGCTCTTTGACCAACATTTCAGTTGTGAAATTCTCTTGTTTCCATTCTATTTAGCGAAATCTTAATTCTTTGGTTTCTTTGTTCTTTGTGCTAATTTGGACAACAAATGGAGTGTATAAATTGATCTTTACTCTAACTACTCCAGCGATTCTCGATCTCCTCGCTATAAGCAAATATGAGAGCTTCGTAAGTGAAGGTGACGTGAGTCGCACGCTCTGTGCACACTCTAGTGCGCCAATTTGTCATCAAAGCAATTGTCATCACTTTTGCGGCAACTGTTTGTACGTAAAAAGATCATGCTGATCGTTTTGTTTTTGACAAGACTACAACACAACATGGAAAGAACGCACGAATGTCCTTGACATCCAGTCATATGTTAGTTGTCATCATTTCTACAATGGCAAAAGACGTACGAAGAGGGCAAGGAAGTCCCGGCACATTTCATAATTCAATGTCCCATCTTCTAAAATTGGGATGAGCTTCACTCCAAATTTGTCCTGCGGGTAGAACTAGGTAGAATTCCTGCTGGAATTTTGCACCCGGAAATAGGCTGAGAACATCGGCATCACATTCACACGGCGCGAAAGTACGCGCTTACGCTAAACAAATGATATTCGTGTTCCCGTATGGGCACTTATTCCTCCTCTCCTCCTATGGCAGATGTCAAACCTTGCGACTTTTTCCATCCCTGGAGAGATAGAAACAGGGCTGCACTGTAGACCAGCCATTAACGGTGGTTAGTATGGCGACACTCTCTCTGCTCGAGCGCTTTATACTCTGTGAAGTCGCGCTGCCTAGTTGTCGCGAAGGTATGAACGCTGAAATGGAGGGTCCTATACGGAACCCTCTCCCCTTAAGCCTTAGGATAGCATTGAGGAGAAGGAAACGTCCTCTGGAGGGGGTGGCACACCACCTCTGGTCCTTCTACCCTAAGGATAAGTTGAGCGAGTTTCCCGGTTTGAGGTTTCTTGGCATCGGTGCCTGTGACGAGGGCGCCAAGCTATTTAGTTCGCGCAAACGGATGTGAATTTTTGTTCGACGGGTCAAACTACTTCCGTTGGCGGTTTCCCAGCCAAACCTCAGTCCGCAGACAAGTTTCTTGAGCAATCCATCTCTTTTCTCGAAGACTGAGGTAGTGAAAAATGACGCTACCATGAGTTGCTGGTAATTCAGGATTCTTAGGCTGGTGTCAGAGTCCGCGATCCGTCGCAGGTTTCGCTGATTTTCGCGATTTGCGCGATTTGCGCGATTGCGCGATTCACGCGACGGGTCACGGAAATCACAAGTGCCCGATCAATACTGCAAGGTGTTCTCCAATCCTGCCGCCACTTCTGCTTGATAGTGATGGCTGAATGACGACTGCTCATGATTCCACTTGTTTCATATTCAGTGTTTCAAATGTTCACACACTTGCAATTTTGCGATCCGGCGCTGGTTTCGCGCAAATCGCGCAAATCGCGAAAATCAGCGAAACCTGTGACAAATCCCGGACTCTGACACCAGCCTTATGCCATGGTGGATTACTGACAATTCTTCCAAATTAGCAATCCCAGTGTTACGTTGAAAAGATGGAATTCAGTCAGGTTCCTAACGCACTGTGCTAGCAATAGCTAAAGATTAGAGACCACATGAAAGACGTTTGGACTGGACATTTTCGGTCGAAGATCAGCAACGACGGCGCATTCATTAATGGGTCGGAGAACAGGCGTGCCATACGTCATCAAAAATTGAATCTAAGCCGCCGCTTATGGTATTTCACGAAATACCACACAAGCATCTTATAAAAGGCTCACAGAAACGCTTCTGTTCATAAGGCCAATGGAGAAAAGAGAGAAACAGAAACAAAAAGGGTACTAACGAAGCTGAACTGTGATGTTGGACCCCCGGATACTATGTAAAACATAAAAGGTGATCCCTGTTGAAGAGTTCTTGTTCATTTGAGGAATAATAAGGAATGAATGTGGTTTCTTTAGCCGAACTACGACAACTTCGAATGAGAATACGAATGAGAGAAAATGCAAATGAAATGCGAATCTTAAGAGTGAATAAAAAAGTGACTAAAAAGTAAAATTCATGGACGTAAAGGGGATGTGAGAAAATGAGAGCAGCCAATAACTTGCAAAAATATTGCGTTATCCGCTCTCAACGTTATTCAAGGCGCTTATAAAAGAGTAAACCCCTCCCACCATTTCCCAACACAGACAAGACCCCGGCAGTCTTATGGTTAGTAAATTGGTACTTTCTGAAAGCACTACAAAGCTTCCAATTTCACAGACTCATCCAAAAATTTCAAGATTTTGCACTGACGGTCCAAACAGTTCAACTCTACTCAATCTGCTCAAGCCCACTTTCCATCCCACGAATTTATTTCAAGGAATACCCCTTGTTCAGATTCACCATTAAGATGGAATTTTGTGGTCTTCAAAAGTAATGGTTACATCCGTCCATACTAAGTTTAACAAGTCATATTAACTCCCAATAAACATACAATCTATCACAAACGAAGAAACTGGTTCCAGAAATCTCTCAGCGGAAGCTTTTTGAGAACGATGTGCGGGCATGCAGCGTGGGTTACACTGCGCCATTTGCACTAAAGCATTGCAAATAGGAACCGGAAATCGAGGAATTTAAGAGAAAAGTAGAGGAGAACGAAAAATGAACGGAATATTATACATCAATGGCGTCTCGTAATTCCGATGAACTCGAAAAGACATCGTTCTTAGCTCGCTACAAAGTGGAATACCGAGTTGACTAATACACGAAACTTCAACAGTTTACCAAGGGTTATACAAACAAATTTACAACAGGAAGTAGGTGTAGTGAAAAGAATCAGCAATAGAAAAGAACATGTTTTCGCCATCGTGGGAAGTCAAGCCTATTCACATGACTTGTTTTCTATTATAACACAACAATAGAAAACAACATATCGCAGTTCACAGTTTGAGACGAATGCCGAGCCTTCTGGACAAACATAGGGAAGAATTCCTTCTAATTTATCTGCTTTTCTGCTTTTTTTGATGCAGCGGACTTTATTTTTGCATACTTTGAAACGAATCGTTTCTTGGACCTACTTCCACCTTCGCCCGGGAAGCTCAGCAACCCTGTGACTGTTGGACATCCCTGCGTCAGGCAACGCCAGCTACTTTAGTAGAAGGCACAACCCGGGGTCTTATGCCCTCAACAAATTTATTCCTCGCTTCAGATTGAAGTACTCCCGATGTATGGTATCTTTCTCCTTTAACCTCAGCATTTCGCCTTCCTGTAAATTAACCCTTGCCACGTTTCCGCGGCAACGACCTCTGTTCAACGCTTTAAACGATCAAAGATGCAAGTAATGAATTAATCGTTGCTGAATTCCTAGCAACGTAAAACGAGAAATAGGATCGAGAAACTGACGGATCTCTGAGCTGGAACGAATCAAACAAGTAAGAACCGTTAGCTGGTGGAACGGCTTGAAAGTGGAACTAAATCTCAGACAAATCCCCAATGAACCGGTTGGTAGGTTGAGAAATGAATGTTACCTAATTTTAGCATGGGTGATGGTATTGCTCGACAGCTTGCGAAACAGTTGACTGAGAACATATTAATAACTTTGAGAATGTTTTTTTTCGAACATAGAACACTCAGAGAGTTCCAGCAACCGAAGAAACTCAAAACATAATCAAAAATAGATATCTCATATGATAGTTCTCGGATTCTCTTCAAAGTTAGTTAGGCATAAGGTATGAAAGGCTTCCTTGGATTTATCATCGCGCATGGTGGGATCTAGAACCGGAGAGACATCGAAACATAAATGGACGTCATTTCAAGAATGTGATCTTCTATGAACAGGAGAAGCGGGACCAATAGCGACAAACTGTTTCCCACTCCCAAAAAGCATTCAAGATTTCGTTCTTGGCCGCCAAAAATCCCAATTATCACTGAGCAAAAGAAGAACAGAAGGAGAATTCTTGATAGAGCATGAGCTGATAGTGGTAAACGAGTTACCTAACTTGTTGAAGCGCCGTGAACAAAGAACAGTCCAACTTTAGAAAAACAACATGCCCATAGCCAGAAAACAATACCAAACGACACAAAGCAGTTAGACTAGAGTGAACAAAGAATGCGGAAGCAATACGTAAAATCGAAACGTGATGCGATATACCTGATCGATAAGCGATTGTCCGAGATTTTCCAAAAGCTTCTCGTTCATTAATGGATCCGGATGTGGCGCTTATCAGGATTGTATACATAGCCGGGAGACCACATCCCTGACACAAAATACCCGACATCGACAGAGACCTCGCCGGGCCCAGCCTACAATTGAGAAACGGGTATACCATCGATAAACCTGCGCTCCTACCCATCAACTGTAGCCCAATCACGCGACATTGAAGGCGACCTTCCCATCAAGTAATCTCTTAAGTCGGAGCAGGTGATATAAATATAAGGCCGGAATCTTTTACATCTTTTCATTCTTCTCATAATCAAAACAACCATGGGTTTAAAAATAACGTGCCAACTGTTACTGACACATTTGATACTCTTCTTGACCATCTACTATGAGATAATACTCTCAAGTCTCATCCACATTAGCAGAACATGAGCCTCAACATTTCTGATTATATTATCATAAAATGAGCAGGTTGCGTCTTTCAGATTCGCATTCGCAAATCCGGTTCAGCTATTATACATTATCTTTGCATTCATCGGCCGGTTCTCCAGTCTTCTACGAGGCAAAAACCAATTTTTAGGACCCCATACCATCTCTGATATTCATCAATACATAAAAGTTAGATTTCCACCGGTTAAAATATAAACAAAACCTCGTAAGTTTGAACCAAAACTATTCGAACATAACATAGCGTCCGAAAGGAATCGTCAATTAATGTCGAAAGTGTAAGCGATATTGAAATTTAGTAAGAAGTGATCCTCAAGTTCAAATGATTGAACAGATGCTCAGGATTTGTCAGCATATTTTTATTACACCTGCGCGCTACTAGAAGACGGGAATGATCGGGAAGGAAATATGATCCATTCCAAAATAGCTATTGAGAACTAAAAATTCATATGCGCTTGTTGATTTTACGATTGGTGGAGTGTCATTTCCTTGAGCATAAAAGACTACAAGTTAAGAATCACGAACAAATGTCAATGGAAGATTCCAGAAAGCATATTTCAAAAATCTTCAGTTTTCCAAGTGAATTATGAAGCTGTTCAATCCTTTGGAGCAAAGTTTTGGTGCCTGCACCTTCCGCAGTCGCTCTTCTTAAAATCAGTCCTTAGTGACATCCCAAAGTCATACTGTAGTTATAGTATCGAGCAGGAATTCCATGCTGACGTTTTTTGAGTCAGCATAAGAGTTATGTAATTGCTATAGATTTATCTATTAGTGACTTTGAAAGTTCCTTAAAAACCGATATGAGATATATCAGGTTTGAAGAAGGTTAACAAAGATTTGGGGAATCCACAGAACAAAGCTTAGTAAAATGAGCAGGAATCGTGGGAAGCAATGTTTTTCGATCAAACATGAGCTTCCATTTGCCTGCCTTGATGGTGGGAGTTGGTTTTAGAAAAAAATCTCGCTTTTTTTCCAAAACGAAGTGCACTCAGCAATCACAGAAATGAAAGTGCACGGAGGTCTGACAATTCAAATCTATTCCTATCCGCTTTTTGATCACCCAAAAGATGTTAAAATAAGATCAAAATCAGACGCTCAGTCCCTATAAGAGGCATTCAAAACATGGCCGAAGGTAGGTGACACTAGGACTAATTGTAAGCCCAGGAGAGGGAGAAACGCCAGGGAGAACACAATTGCTCACATCCTCCCCAGAATCCCTTCCCCTCCCTAAGGCTTAGTCCCAAGCACAGCAATTGGCTCACTCACTTGAATGTCCCCTCCCCCCCCAGCTACATAAGCGCCCCAAACCATCATTTACAGCCCTCAGAAAGAGAATAAACAAAACGATGAGCCAGGCAATGTTTTGGAACGAGGCATGAGTGTTGCCGAAAACAAGGCAATCCTACCTATCAATCTTTCCCGTAAAAAAAGCTCTAAGCTAATCTCAGACCACATTTATTTATCTATTTATCAAAATCTTTGAAACCGTAGATGACACT